AACAAGGAGGAAAAGGTGAATTAAGAATAAACAATATATATACTGTATATCACGGTGTATATAGTATATCAAGATATACAACATGATCATTTTATTTGAAAGGTTACATAAACATTTGATTATTTATTAGGATATCCCTGTAGCTATGCTACCATAGGCTACCAAAGGAGAAACTGACGCCTTTTCCTCATTTTCTTCTACTTCTACTCTTTAATTTGCATCATTTGCTGTTATTTCAACTCTTTTTTTGTTTCAGGTATTTTTCGCTCCATGGAAGGTACACCTGGTCCGGCATTCTGTTTGGTTTGGATACCTTCCTGCCTGCGATTATTAGCTGAGATAATGTTGCCATTTAATTTTCATGAATATAAAAGGTAGGAGGCGTCTTCTTGTCAAAGGGGAGTTTTTCCTCTCTGCTTCTGCTGCATGCATGCTGGGTATAAAGGTTGGTGGTGGTGAAGCCAGCAATGCAAGTGGTGTCAATGACTCAATGCTCTGCTGGCTTTCATTAAACAGAAACCTTTTAAACTAACTTTAATAATAAATTAAACTTAATGCACTGACTGATGAGGATTGATTGGAATCTGTGTGACTAAACTGAAATGATTGTTTTTGGAAAGTGCGTGGTACTATGGGAAGAAAATCAGTAGAAAAACTGAATATAGGTTCCACTCTAATCATATCTATAGGATTGGAACAGATTAAAAGACTTTTTTTGTGGATTGATGACTGATTAGTGATGTCCTTCAGGAAATTGCACAGCTATCAATATGGTGTTTGAGCAAAATCAGTACTCTAACCCGTCTCCTCCAGCCTGGTTCGGCCTCTTTTCTCTCTCCTTCAATAATCAGATTCACATACTCTCTCACTGAGAGCAGATCTGGCTTCAGGGAGATTTCCTTCAATTTGTTTAAACACTCTGAAGACGTCTTCATCCATTGGATCACCTCATCGAAGACGTCCCGGGAGATTATTGATATGTGGATGTCTTCTGCCTTCTCGTAGCGCCATCTGTAGTCCTGGATGAAATGGACACTGCGGTAACATCTGCCAGGACACTCGGTGCAGAATCCGTTTTCAGCCAATATTGCCCACCTTGACGTTTGACAGGTCATGTGACACTGCTGACAATTCACAAAGATGTTACCAACTGATTGCATTTTAGAAGCTCTGGTCCCCACCAGCTCTCCTATTCTGCCTTTAATCCGCTCCTGGAGGTTTTCCACTTGCTCTTCCAGCTCTGTTCTTTCTCTGATTATCTCCTTCACTGGAAACAAGTCTTTGCTCTTCATTACTTTCAGATCATCAAAGAATCTCTTCATGCTTTTTGTGTTCATGTTCCAGAATATCTGGTCAAAGCTTTCAGCTTCCTCTGGGTCCTCTGCCCACTGGTTTCCTTCAGCAGCAGCGTTGTTGTCTGCAAACAGAGCCGACTCATTGAACTTGAAGTGGATCGGCAGCCCGTCTTTATTTTTAGGACATGGGACACCTGAAGCTATGATAGACTCCAGAACTGGAGGCAACTGACCATCTGCACCTGTAACCAGAACCCTGATGTTTTCTAACATGTCTTTGCCAAAGACAGATAAAAGGGAGTCCGTTCTGTGTCTTTGTTCTGGTGTTAGTTCATCAGAATCAGCTCCTACTGTTAGACACACAGCAGCAGCTTCACTCACACCTTCTGGACAACAGAAGAGACGACCCAGAAGCTCAGAGATCCGTCTGTCACTTCGTATTTCTGCACTTCTTTTAAAATCATACTCAAAAGAAAGCTCCTTAGGGGTATCAATGACAGTCAGAGAGTAATCGGTTCTGAATCCTTCCTGGTGGAAGATTTGGTACACAGTGACCTCAGAGGTCACACACTCCTCCTCAACCAGCTTAAACCTGAAGCTGTCCTCCCACTCCACACCAACTATGTAGTTGATCATTCCATTGATGAAGTTTGACGCTCCATATCTGGACAGTCCTAGAAGAACTATGGTCCGATTCTGCTTCTCATTGGCTTCTCCACATGCAAACTTCCTGCAGCCATTGATGTTGATGTGTTCTTCTATAAGAGGAAGTTTGAAAACAGAGGGAGTTCCAGGGCTGATCAGTTGGCTCCTGCGTCTCAGCTGTTCTGCAGATCTTGTTGTAGAAAAATGAGCAGTGATGCTTTCTCTGCTCATTCCAGCTTCTCCACAATCACAACTGACCCTGATGGCATATTGTGTGTCAGACTGAAGATCTGAGATGGTCACTCTTTGGGTTTTAGGCATTAACCTGTTCCACTGGACTGGACTGGTATCTCCCATCTCTGCATACTCCAAGATGTAGTGTAAAATCTGAATATCTGGTCCTATCTCAGATGGTTTCTTCCAGGTAACTGAAGCATCAAGTAAGTTTGGTTGTACGTGAAGTTCTTGGGGAGGGCTGCAGGGTAAAGTTCTGATTGGGTTCCTGACTTCATAGGCCGGTCCAACACCAGCTGAGGTCACTGCTCTGCATCTGAAGACATACTCTGTTTTTGGTTCTAAGACTTCAATTATTATTTCTCCGTCTTTTGGTGCAGCCATCTGCTTCCATCCATCTTCTCCATGGACACAGACCTCCACAGAGTATGAGGTGATGCTCTCTGCTCCAGACCTGGGAGGAGAAACCTTCAGAGTCACACTGTTGTGGGTAACGTCAGCTGCCGTCACAGTTTCAGGCTTTGAAGGAGGCTCAAAGTTCTCATTGACAAGAACGGTATCCTCATAGAGGTAGATGGTTGAACCTTCACTGCTTTCGACTGTTAAACTCAATGCCAGGAACTTAATCTGTTGGTTTTCCTTGTTAGCTTCTGCAAAATCCCTGAATAGTTGTGCTTTAAGTCTGATTTTGCACAGAACCTTCTTTGAGGCGAACCATGGCTCCTTGTCTACATCATGAAGATCCTCTGGTTGAGTTCCTCCCAGGTAGGCTGATAAAGCTGAGAGTAATGGGTCATCAGTCCCCAGTGAGGTGAAGACAAAACACAGAACCTGACCTGCAGTGTTAATAATCTCATTGAACAGATTCTGTGAGGAGATAATCTCAATGTTTGGCATCATGTTGGTCAGAGCTTCCAGAACATTGATCTCCTTCTCCTTCCAAAGCATCCACCTGTTCAGGTTGTTCTTGCTGAAGGGAGTCAAATTTCTCATTTCCCTCCTATTCATAATAACCTGCAGGTTTCCCTTCTTGTCCAGTACCGATGGAACTTCCTCTTTCAACTTGTTTAGGATCACCTGCTTATACACTGTGTGGAGGTTTTTGAAAGTTCTCAGTTTTTCTTGAATCTCCTGGAACCTCTGAGCTTGGATGGACTTCTGGGCTTTTTCCCACCTGGCTTCCAGGTCTGGAAAATCCTGCAGAATATCCTGCAGTTGCAGTTGATATGGTTGTAATGTTCTGCAGACAACAGTTTCACTTTCTCTGCTTCTTCCATCTTCTCCACAATCACAACAGACCCGGATGGCATATTGTGTGTCAGACTGAAGATCTAAGATTGTCTCTGTTTGGGTTTTTGGCATTAACTGGTTCCACTGGACTGGACTGGTATCTCTCATCTCTGCATACTCCAAGATGTAGTTTAAAATCTGAACATTCTGTCCTATCTCAGATGGTTTCTTCCAGGTAACTGAAGCATCAAATAAGTTTGGTTCTACATGAAGTTCTCCAGGAGGGCTGCAGGGTAAAGTTCTGATTCTGTCCCTGACTTCAAAGGCCGGTCCAACACCGGCTGGGATATTAGCCCTGCATCTGAACACGTATTCTGTGTTTGGTTTCAGGTCTTCAACCAGAGATTCTCCTTCTTTTGCTCCAGTAATCTGCTTCCATCCATCTTCTCCGTGGACACAGACCTCCACAGAGTAGGAGGTGATGCTCTCTGCTCCAGAACTGGGAGGAGAAACCTTCAGAGTCACACTGTTGTGGGTAACGTCAGCTGCTGTCACAGTTTCAGGCTCTGAAGGAGGCTTAAAGTTCTCATTGACAAGAACACTATCCTCATAGAGGTAGATGGTTGAACCTTCATGCTTATCATCTCTTAAGCCAACCGTAAGGAACTTTGTCTGCTGGTTGTTCTTGCTGGCTTCTGCAAAATCCCTGAAGAGTTTTGCCTTTGTCCACATAGTCTTTGCTGCTTCTGGTGAGGAGAACCATGGTTCCTTGGTTATTTCACAGATACCTGGATTTTCTGCTTGGTTTGTCTTTAAGTAATGCGATAAAGCTTGGATGTCTCCCAGTGAGGTGAAGATAAAGCAGACATGATATTTAATGGATTCACTCGCACTGCTTCCAGTTTCCTGCCACAAGTCACTCTTCGATCGAAGAGACTTGATGTTTTTTCCTGTATTTTTAAAAAGTTTGAGCACAGAGATTTCTTGCTCTTTAAAATCAATCAACTTGTTAATCGTGAAGACAAATGAAGTCCTGCCCTTCAAGGTCTCTGCTAGCTCTGCTTCCTTTGCTCTACCTCTGCGGATACGTATAAGTGCTTCAGCAAATGATTTTTGGCATTCATTTTTCAGGGTTAAACAAATGTTTTGCAGACATTGAAAGTTTTCGTTAATCTGTGGAAACATATCACCAGTGTTTGTGAGTAAAACCTTGCACCTCATATCCAGCTGATTGAAATCAACCATTACATCGTTGATCAACTGAAGGAACCATCCACTGACTGGACGGAAGATTTGAGCAGAAACATTTAAACTGCTCAGAGGCAATAACCAGACTTTCAATGGTACAGCGTTCTCTCCATTGGGTCCCAGAAGGCTTGGCAGACTGTGATAAACTTGCATGGCATCCTGGAAAGTTCTGGGTGTTTTCTCAAGTTTGAAGTCTCCATAGAAGCTGCAGGCAAAGTTCTCAGCACTTCTCATAGCTTTATTTGCACTTTTCCATGAAGCTGCATATTTAAAACCAAACAGTTTTGCCTTTCCTTCTCCCTGAATATCTTGAAGACTTTCATTTTCAGAAACCTCCCTTTCAAATACAAAGAATGCCTGGGCTCCGTAAAGAATAGCTGTGACTACATGTGTTGCTAAGGTCTTATCAGATTGGTCTTTATGCCTAATGTTGTTTTGTCCAAGATGTTCCATCGACAGCTCCTGAATTTTGGTTGTAACCTTATAGACCAGGGTTAACCTGCATTGATTGTTGTTTGTCTTTTCATGATCTAGGTATTTGGCAGAACCTTCAGCCTTTACCAGACCTGACAGGACACTTGCTTTTAGTGATCCGTTAACATCCAGTGCTGAAAATTGGCTTTCAGTTAAATCAGATGCATCAATTGCAAAGGTGTTAAATCTCTGTGGTCTTTCTCGTATGTGTCTCTTCAGATCATCCCCGTCCCACAGTGTGATTCCTGGAAGAGAACAAACAAGGTCAGTGTTGTAGAAATAAGAGAAACTTCATATTTAGGTTTCAATTTGAATGAATCTGGTAATAATATAGAAGTCGTCCACAGGCCCCTCCCTCTCGGTTCCACTGTCCTAGCTGCATGTTCTGGATGCGAACAGAACCACAGAACCATTCACATCAGTTAAACAATGAATCTATAAGGATTCATTATTGCCTGTTTATGGCAGAACTCTAAAGGGGAAAGGTTCATACATGAATCACAGCAACAGAAAACTTTGCGTTTCTCAAGGTGGCAGAAACAAGAAAACCTTTATTCTAGATCTGTGTTTCTCTATTTCAATCCTCATGGACTACTGCTTTGATACTTTAGTTGTTGTTGTTTTTTTCATCTGCCATGTTTGGCTTGAATAAGTTGGTGATTATGGTGCTTCTGCAGGACTTCAAGGCATTTAGAAGAGGTCATGCAATCATTTGAATAAGGTGTTCTAGACTAGAAACTCATCTATTATATGCAAGGCTATGATCCCAGAGTATCTAATCTAATCTAATC